GTAGCATCACAGCTCACAGCAACCTCCAACTCCTGGGCTCAAGCGAGTCTCCTGCCTCTGCCTCCCAAGTAGCTGGGACTACAGGTGCCTGCCACAAGGCCTGGCTATTTTTTGGTTGCAGCCATTATTGTTGTTTGGTGGGTCCAGGCTGGATTCAAACCCACCAGCTCAGGTGCATGTGGCTGGCGCCTTAGCTGGTTGAGCCACAGGGGCCGAGCCTACATTTGTGAGATCTAAGAAATATTCTGTTATAGGCTGGGTGCCTGTAGCTCAGCGGCTAGGGTGTCAACCACATACTCCAGAGTTGGTGAGTTCCACTCCAGACCGGGCCTGCCAAACAACAACAACAAGCAAAAAATAAAAATAGCCAGGCCTGTGGCAGGCGCCTATAGTCCCAGCTACTTGGGAGGCTGAAGTAAGAGAATCACTTAAGCCCAAGAGTTTGAAGTTTCTATGAGCTGTGACACTGTAGAACTCTAACAAGGGCAACAAAGTGAAACTCTGTCTCGAAAAAAAAAAAGAAGGAAATATTCTGTTATATACAGAGAGTGTCAAAATATGCATGTACATCTTAAAAAAAGAAAAACTATATTAAAATTGCAATACTCAAGTCACATTTGCTTTCTGCAATTATAAAAGGTGCTCAAACATAGCTTGTATTTTTTGTTGTGGTATATATTATTACAATTTTAATATAATTTTTCCCTTTCTGAAAATGTGTATACATATGTTGGTACTCTCTGTATATATATGTATTATAGTTCATATAACCACATAAGCTACAGATAGATAATAAGATTATATCTAATTATATATTATAAACACTGTTATAATAAAATCCTAGTATATAAATATTTACTTTCTTTTTTGAGACAGAGCCTCAAGCTATTGCCCTGGGTGAAGTGCCATGGCATCACAGCTCACAGCAACCTCCAACTCCTGGTCTCAAGTGAATCTCCCACCTCTGCCTCCCAAGTACCTGGGACTACAGGTGCCCGCCACAACACCCAGCTATTTTTTTGGTTGCAGCCATCATTGTTGTTTGGTGGGCCCGGGCTGAATTCGAACCCGCCAGCTCAGGTGTATGTGGCTGGCGCCTTAGCAATATTTACTTTCATCACTAGTAAATTCCTTCAGATTCCTAGAAAAGGAGTCCAGGATCTAAAGATATAAATTTTTCAGTCTCATAATAACATGTCACTAAATTACCTTCTAGATAAATTAGATCAATTTATATTCCCACAGCACTGTATATGTAATGGCATCATTATTCACTTAAAGCAACAGGCTCATGTAACATACCTGTGTAAATGAAATCTAGAAGTACCTGAAAGATTCCAGCTTCAATTCCTAGAATCTGTACAACATCTTTTGAGGACTCTTTCATTCCTCCTGTGAACAAAGCTGCAAAGTAAGGACTACTGGCAGCCAAAACCAGTCGATGAACTTGAAAAGTTTCCTTCCCAACTTGTAGCTGAACATCACAAAAATGGTATTCATTTCTCATTTTATTGATCTGGGCCAACATGAGTTGTGCATGTTTATCTGATGAGAAAGGACTATCACAAGCATTCAGACAGCCCTCATTAGCCATGATGATGATAGATTAATTTAAAAAACCGTTGCACATAATCTACTCCTACCCTGAAAAACAAAATAAAGAGAGACCAAGCAACAAATTTTTGTATTGAACATGTCTTCCATTCACATATACAAGAAACATTCCCTATACTTACAATCCATTTAGAGACATAAAACACACAGAAGAAAAGTATTAACTGTGTGATACTGTTTCCAATATGGTTTCAGAGAAGGAAGTAGTGGGGGGTAAAAATAATTGAAAGATGTTTCACAGAAGAAATAAGACCTGAACTGGATACTAAAAGGTAAAGAGTATTATGGCATGAGAAAAGGTCGTAAGTCCTTTGTGGAGAGTAAAGGAAAAAAAGGCACAAAGGCAGAAAGTTTCTGTTCACTACAGCAAGGAAGCACATATCTCAGCCAAATGAATTTTCAAAAAGCAATTGTGATCAATTTGTCTGCTTAAAATCCTTCAATATAATTTCCTGCAGGAACCCAACCCAGCTCTGCTCTCCTTTGAGTTTGTTGCTCACCCTACATTTAGTCATTTTACAACCCATATTTTACTCTACCTTGTCATACATCCTCTCACCCTACTCCAAGAATATACACATCTCTCTCTCTCTCCCTCACACACACACACAGAAAGCTGAAAAACAGTACCTTAAGGGCAGAGACTATCTTTCATAGCTATAGCACCAGTATCTGAAATGTATTAGGTTTCCAAATGTTTGTAAAATCAGTAAACTGAGAAATAAGAGTAATAGCTTAGGGTTTTTTTCTTCAGAGTATCACTTTGTCACCCTTGGTAGAGTGCCCTAGCATCACAGCTCATAGCAACCTCAAACTCTTGGGTTTAATGATTCTCTTGCCTCAGCTTCCTTCGTAGCTGGGACTATAGGCGCCCAGGACGTCTGGCTTTTTTTTTTTTAAAGAGACAGCTCTTCCTCTGGTTTAGGCTGGTCTTAAACCGGTGAGCTCAGGCAATCCACCTGCCTTGGCTTCCCAGAGTGTTAAAATTACAGGCGTGAGCCACTGTGCTGGCCTAGGTTTTTTGTTTGTTTCTTTAACTGTTAGCTTTTCCACATATTATGTCAATTGTAATTCTCAAAATAATTAAGAGCTAAGAAAAAAAAATCTGAGCAGCACCTTTGGCTCAGTGGGTAGGGCGCCAGCCCCATATACCTGAGGGTGGCAGGTTCCAGCCCAGCCCCAGCCAAACTGCAACAAAAAAAATAGCCAGGTGCTGTGGTGGGTGCCTACAGTCCCGGCTACTTGGGAGGCAGGGGCAAGAGAACTGGCCAAGCCAAGAGCCAGAGGTTGCTGTGAGCTGTGATACCACAGCACTGTAATGAGGGCAACAAAGTGATACTCTGTCTCTTAAAAAAAAAAAAACTTATCTAAAAGGACAGAGAAGGAAACTGAAGCTCAAAGTTTCCCCAAGGATTAAGGGTTAGTGTGACAATCTCAGTATCTGAATCCAGGCCTTCTATAAATCCAGAACTTTTTCTACAATATCAATTGCATAGGAATCGTTACGTCAAATTAGGAAGAAAGACCCTTGAAACCTAAGCACCTGAGCCTTTATAGGTTCATGAAGAGTAACACAACAATAATCATATTTCAGAACTGATATTTGATTATTCAGGAGCATGAGTTATAAGGTAATAAAATCCCATTGAAAAGCCTATAGCTTCAGCAATCTAACTTTTAAAAACTATGAGATCCTGTCCCATTAAGAAATATGGAGATGAAGCACAGTGGAAATTTATGATTAAGGTTTTGTAACCTAGACATCAAGAATTAGTAATAAGACAGAAAGAAATGGCGTGGGATGATGTTAGAACAAATGATTAAGTTTATAGCATGCAAACTTATCAAAGTCAAAGTCATTAGGCTGATTATCATGACTAGGAATTAGCTCAGCGAGAAATTTGATTGAGGTTCTAAGGTGAGCTGCTAAAACTTCACATCACTATGTACGGAATGTCTACGTATTACATTTAACCGGCAAGTAAAAGCAAACAGCGTTTGAGGTGATGAATATACTAAATTACCCTGATTCGATCTTTACATATTGTATACATGTTTCAAAATATCACACTATACTCCATAAATATGTATAATTATGTTAATTAAAATAATAAAAAAGGGGAAAAAGCAAATATTCTGTGTATTTGTCCCTTCACAGAAATGTGACCTGCAGATGCAATTAAATGTTGTTTTTTGTTTTTTCCTGTATCAGATCTCTGTCTGCAACTTTTGGACCCCAGTGGTTTAGCTACAAGGTACCTCCTCAGTGTGCGCACTTCAAAGCATCCAGCACATCCACTAAGCTAAATTGCTCTAAATTGCTCCTCCGTGCTACAAGAACAAGTTCACTGGTAGCAACCAGGAGAAATCCTAGTCTTTTTTTTTTTTTGAAAACAGAGTCTCACTTTGTCACCCTCAGTATAGTGCCATGGCGTCACAGCTCACAGCAAACTCCAGCTTTTGGGCTTAGGCGATTCTCTTGCCTCAGCCTCCAGAGTAGCTGGGACTACAGGCACCCGCCACAACGCCCGGCTATTTTTTGTTGCAGTTTGGCCGGGGCTTGAACCCGCCATCCTTGGTATATCAGGGCCGCCGCCCTACTCACTGAGCCACAGACGCTGCCCACAAATCCTAGTCTTTTGCCCCTCAGTATTTGTAATGCTATTCCATTGCCAGTAGAGAACGATTGTCATTCCAAAAGGCCATATGTGGAGTGACCATATTTCCAGAGGGAAAGAGCAAAATTCTGGGACACTACGTAGGGATGTAAGGGTAGTGCTTCAAGCGTCCCAAACTTGAAAAGCAGATCATTCGGAAACGGTGGAAATATCCACAAGCACTAAGACGGACCTAAGTTTGGCGGCTTTGAATTCACCGCCAAGAGCACCTGCAAATTGCTTCCGCAAAGGGTGTCAGAAAGAATCCCGGGACCAGCGTCAAAAAACCCGAGGCTCTTTGTCCTTAATTGAGTTGGGGGCGGGACCCAGAAAGCTACCTCCAACCTGCTGCGATACTAAAGGTGGATACTAATTCTGGTGCTACCTAAAGGTCAGGGAAGGGATCTCACACAACTGAAGGGACAGCGAGAGGGCTGGGGTCACGACCGCCGGATCCCCCAGTGGAAGCCAGAAAAGGAGACGCCGGAGTCGTCCGCACCACACGCAGCTCCGCAGAGGGCGACACAACTGTCAGAGGGCCGCCTGAGGCAGAGGAAAGGCGCGGAGAAAAACAGTTCCAGAGGCTCCTCTGACGCTTGTCCCCAGGGTCCCTGAGAACCAGAGCGCGCCTAAGTTCCCAGCTCCCTCGCGGACGCAAACCGGACGTAGGCCCTCCTTACCCGTCGCTTCCCCTTCCCTCCAGCGCCGGCCCAAGCCCTGCGCGCGCAGCCGCGACCCGCCAAGCCGGAGAGGGCGGGAGAAACCCAGCGGGAATGAGGAAACGGGGCGGAGCCCGGCGGTCCCCGAGGACTGTAGGCGCTGCCGGGCCTTGCGCAGGATGCCTGTGGCGTGCTTGCTCCTTAGACTCTTAGTGCGCATGCGCGTGATTCTTCTGGTGGAAAGACTTAGTGCCCTTATAAAAGAGGCCCCAGAGAACTCCTTCTCCATTTTCCGTACAACAGAAAAGATGGCAAAGGCTGAGCGCGAGCCAGATCCTGTCTCTACTAAAAATAGAAAAATTAGCCAGGCCTTGTGGCTGACGTCTGTAGTCTTAGCCACAAAGGAGGCTGAGGCAAGAAGATCCCTTGAGCCCGGGAGTTTGAGATTGCCATGAGCTATGAAGCCACGGAATGAGACTGTCTCAAAAAAGAAAAAAAACGTTACCATTGCGCCACAAGGGATCATTCTGCTCAAGAAGACTTCTAGTCTCTGTGGAGTAGGATCTACTGTCTGTATCTCAAACTGTCACTAGTTGGCTCTGTTACTGAGAGTTTGGCATTTGTCCAAGGCCTTCAGAGGCCACATCAGAAGAACGGGTAGTTTCAGGAGAAGGAAAGTTTATTAATGTTTTGGCAAATGAGTTTCAGACGCCTGTCTTAAAGTACCAAAATCTATTTTTTGAGACAGACTCTCAAACTGTCGTTCTGGGTAGAGTGCCGTGCCGTCATAGCTCACAGCAACCTCTAACTCAGGCTCAAGCGATCTTGCCTCAATTTTTCTATTTTTAGTAGAGGTGGGGGTGGGGGATGTGTCTCACTTTTGCTCAGGCTGGTCTCAAACTCGTGAGCTCAAGCAATCCACCCGCCTCGAGCTCCCAGAGTGCTAAGATTAAAATTACAGGAGTGCACCACCGCGCCCGGCCTTTTCTTTTCTTTCTTTCTTTCTTTTTTTTTTTTAACAGAGTCTCACTCACAGCAACCTCCAACTCTTGGGCTTGGGCGCCTGCCACAACACCTGGCTATTTTTTTTTTTTGATGCAGTTGTCATTGTTGTTTAGCAGACCTGGGTGGAGTTCGCTCACCACCACAGCCTCTGGCGCTGAGCAACCTACCAACATCGTTTTTTTGTTATTTGTTTGTTTTTTTGAAACAGAGGCTCAAGCTGTCCCCTGGGTAGAGTGTGCGGTAACATCACAGCTCACAACAACCTCCAACTCCTGGACTCAAGCGATTCTCCTGCTTCCGCCTCCCAAGTAGCTAGGACTACAGGCACCCGCCACAACGGCCGCCCGGCTATTTTTTGGTTGCAGCCGTCATTGTTGTTTGGCGGGCCGGGCTGGATTCCAACCCGCCAGCTCAGGTGTATGTGGCTGGCACCTTAGCCTCTTGAGCCACAAGCGCCGAGCCGCCAAACATCTTAACTATAAGCAGAAACAGAGTTTCTAAAGGAAGAATTTTCAGCTTCAGGTTTTTAACTATACTTGATGGTTCTGATCCATCCCTTCTCCTTCAAAGAACTTTCAACCATTTTGTCTGGTACAAAGAGCAAAGGACATTCTCCTGCCCCTGGGATTACTGGCCTGCGGGGGCGAGGGGGTGTACAGGTCTTAATTCCTAAAAAGGTTAAGATTTTAAAAAAGAAGACAGCTTGTAAAACATTTTACCCCCTTTCAGGCCATTACTTCTATTACAGCTCATGCTAGAATTCTTCCCCATGGGAAGCCAAGAACCCACTTGGCAAGTTCAGCAGGCTTTTCTCCATTGATTGGGGCACCCTCTGCATCTCTTGGAAGGTTATGTTAAAGCCTAGAGAATGAAGCTAGCCGGACTCTTAATCAGAAACTCACTATTATTTGGGTTCTTAAAACATTTCTCCTGAAAAATAAGTTTGGACTAGAAATAAGGAGTAAGGAAGAAAGACAAATTAATAAAAGAGCCTACTTTTCAGTTTGGACAGAAAATTTTCTTTCTACCAGAGGCCAAGGCAAAGCAGAATCTCTGATTTTAGCTAAATATGTTATTCTAAAATGCAAAGGAGATAGAAACAATCTGAATACTGCCAATAACCACAGAAGCTTGGAGCCAAATCCTTATCCAGTCAAGCCTCAAATGAGGAGACATCCCTTTAGTCATTGCAGTCATTTCTTTAGGAAGAGGTTTAAGGAAGGAAAATAAAGTCAATAAATTATATGGAGTACCTACTGCTTGTTTTTGGTGCCCAGCCAGAAATGCTCAGTTATTCTGCAGAGTGATTGCATATACTAATTTGGCAAGCAAAACAGCAGAGAATCAACAGATAAGCAATATAGCTTATTTACACACTAGAACAGATCTGAACTCACAGGTTACAGTTTATCAACTTCTTTTTTTTCTTTTTGGAGACAGTCTCACTAAGTCTCAGCG